CCATTGATTCCAGCTGCTATGAGAAGAGAAAGTGCGCATTTTTTTTTTATAATAGCAGAGAAACATGTGACTATTACTCGGAGGCGAATACTTTTACTTAAAAATAACTGTATATCATTTTTCGAGAAATTTTGTTCTTGAAAAATCCATATCTAAATCCTCCGGAATGTTTGTACTAAGTATATTGATAGAGACCTGTGGTTTTCAGCATTTGATAACCAAAACCCAAGAGCATATTTTTATAAGAAAAAATTTTTCTGAGGAAAAAGTCTGAAGTTTGGTTTTTCAGAGAATCTATGAAAAACCACGCTGACGTTTTGAAAAGTGTCATAGAAGTCTATTGATTTTTTTACATATTCGGAATCAGCATCAAAAACTGCGTCGATTCCTATATTTTTCTAGTCTTTTAATGAAATTTTTTTTTCGCCAGAAAATTCGTCCTTTGTCATTTTTTGACATGGCCCAGAGGAAAATTTTCGATGAAAAAATATGAGTCGACGCAGTTTTTCATGCTGATGCCGAATATGTAAAATATTCAATAGACTTCTATGAGAATTTTCAAAATACCAGCATGGTTTTTCAAAGATCCTTTGAAAAATCAAACTTCGGACTTTTTTCTCAGAAAAGTTTTTGCTTACTCTTCAATCTTGGCTGTCAAAAGTTATTCAAAAAACAATCAGGTATCTTATATTCTGGCACCGATATTAGATTCGAGTATAGGTTAAAAAAAAAGAAAAAAATCTAACCTGCTGGTAATAATTGACAAAATTGTTCAAATCTTGTTGTATGTTGTGCTGGATGATGATGATGATGAATATGTGGATCATTAAATGTTTGTGTTACTTGTCGATGTATAAAACCATCACGACAAATTAAATATAAATCTTGTGTATCAGATAAAAAATGTGTTAATACACTTGAATTTAAAGCATATTCATTAACTGTTTTTATTGTAAATTGTGAACATGATGTATTATAACCTGTTGATGTTATATTTAATGTTGCTATAACAATTGAATCCATTTGTGCAAAAAATAAACGATGTTCATTATATTGTTGATATAATGCAATATGATGTATACGTGCACCATTTGAAACAAGATGTGGTGATTCTTGTTTTGTATATGCAAGTAATGGTGTTAATTCATTACCAGTTAATGATATTGATATAAGTGATACATGTCCATGTGATGAACCAAGTGCTAATATACCAGCTGTATCAGATAATGATAACCATGCCATAGCTGATATTGAATTATGTGGTGGTCTATATGTTGTTTCTAATTTAGAATTATATAAACCATTGGATAATGTTGATGAAAGAGTAGATTTTTTCATACCATTTGTTGTTGATGATGATGATGATGATGATGATGATGATGTTATTGATGGTTCAGTTGCATTTGGTTCAAGTAAAGCAGCATATGTTAATGTTAGATTATTTGTTGGTTGTTGTTCAGATAATTGCCATATAGCAACATGTCCTGATTCAAGACCACAAAAAAGTAGAACAAAACGTGATGGTGAATCACGACGAAGAACATTTGACCAACCTAAACATGTTGGTACTAAGAAAAAAAAACAAAATAATAATAAATTTCCTTTTTTTCTCCCAGTAATTTTTACCTAATAATGCTTCTTCATCACGTGATAATCCTCCAGTTGTTCCATTACTAGTTGCTGTTTTTCTTGTTGTTGTAGAATTATTACCATTACGTTCATCTAATTGTGATCGCCAACGTTTTGAAACATTAAATAAAACTACAGGTGATTCTTGATTAGCATCACATATAACAAGTTGTCCTGTTGATGAAGCAACAGCTAATAAACGAGCACCATCAGGTCGTAATGAATCTGGACAAAAAAGTGCTAATGGTGTATATGTATAATATCTTAAATCATCTTGTTCAAGATGTTGATCAAGTTGAAACCATGAAACAGTAAATAATTGAACTTTACGTGATGAATGACCACTAAATGTTAATAATGTAAAACCAGTTGATGATGCTATAGCAAAACGTGACCAATCTGAACATGAAATAGCGCCATCTTTAAGTGAATCTGACGTTTGAAAATGTTGTTCTTCAAGTAATGAACAATCAAAACCGCTCATTTATGTTTGATATTTATGCCCAAAACTAAATATAATGTGTAAAATATACAAGAATAAAAATAAAAAAAGAATATTTAATTTTAAATAAACCTGATAATAATAATAGTTATAATTTTTAACAACATTATAGATAATTCGAAAAATCTTTTTTTTTTTCGTTTTTCTTTTTCTCTTGTCTTGTTCGGTTGTTGAAGGAACGAATAGATCAGAACGCAAAAAAGAAAAGAATGAGCGACAGTAGGAGGCGTCAGAAAAAAAGAGAGAGAGAAAAACAATGGCGTGGTCGAATAAAAGGACGAGTGAGACACTACAGAACAAATCATTACCATTATTAGTTTATATGTACCTTAATAATGTTATAAGAAAATAAAAATTTTATTAATTACTATATTATATAGAACATCATTTTTTTTCTTTTAATATTTATAATTTGTTCTTATTAAACAAGAAAAATTAATATAAAAAAAATAGATGTCACTTGTATATTGGCTTCATTCAAAGAAAATATTTTTTGTTCAGAATATATTTACTCAAACAATCAGAGTTATTTACAGGCAAATTTTTTCGACGGAGTATAACCTAGTCAACAGATCAGAGCAAAAGTTGAACTATCAGGCTGTATCTTGATCTGGCGCACATGCATAGGCGACGAAATGTTTTCATTTTAGAATAGACTCAATATTTTTTTTTGTGTAGAGACGATCCATGTAAAAAAACACCAGATTATAATCGATGAAATTTTGATGAAAAATCGATTATAACTCAGTAGAAGTCGATAAAAATCAATTAGATCTTCTATATCTGTGCCTAACCCTTTGTACGTATCCGTAACTCCTTATATCTATCTTAAACCTCTTATATTTATCTATCTCTAACCTTCTTATATTTATGTCAAACATTCTTATCTATTTCTTTTCCACAACCTCTGAATAGATATGTCTAATCCTGTACGCATATATACTTACGAGCTTTTGTGTATGTGTATTTCTTATATATACATTTATGTTCGTTTATCGAAACATGTGCTCCTATGTTTACTACTAACCCATATATTTATCTCTGCTATCTACGGGTAAAATAAAAAGGAATAAATATCGTATTGTTTTTAACTAAGATGAACATGAACAAGGGAAAAGTACACGAAAATAAATATGTTTAGGATATAATCTGTATGTAAAACATCCATCATATAATACGAATGAAAGTCGGTAATTTGCGATGTCAACGCTTTCAACTAAAACAGATAGTATATTTCTGTCGACAAAATGTTAAAGGTTTCAAAAGTTCAGCTGTAGTGTAATATTGAAATACGATTGCCAAAGTAAATCTTATATAGGTCAACGAAGAAATGAATTCGACATTCTGATTGCTGGACATCTATCTCTATTAGAGATGATATATCAAAGAGAATATTTTAGTATAATACCTTTGAGAGGTTTACAAAGAAGTTTCTGCGATTGCAAAGACCTGAAGAATTTTTATATGAACATTAGAGAAATTTCATATACTCGTGCAATGCTTGTTAATGTATAGGGAAGTTTTACAAAACATCAAAGAATTCGTTGAAGATCTGTTTTTTCCAGTGTAATAAGTGTACTCATCCAACGAGCAGGACTTGTCAGCATGAGTATTGATGTTCGTTTCTTCGCAAAATACTTATGCCTTAGAATGTAGAAAAATTGATTATAGTTATAAAGTAAAAACACAATGATGTACTCAAATTGAATATAGAGAAAATATGCTTGAATAACTTATCTATTTTTTCCTCAAATCTTTTCCGATGAGTTATTCATACTATTTTTTGACTATCGATGACTTTAAGAAAAGAAAAAACGACTTTTTACTTTCAGTTATGTTTTTCCTGTACTATGAGATTTAATATATAAATGAAAAACTTGTTCTAAATTTAGATAAAACTTCTAACTACATGAAATTACAGTATTCAATTTGACTGTGAAAAGCAATGAAACAAATGTTGACTAATAAGTTTTGTTACAAATTGATTGCGATTTTTAATTATGAAAACACGTACATTCTTATTATAGAAGAATAATTAAACCTTTTTGCTCATTTTTTTTTGTGAAATATTACATGATAAATAGTCATTAGTCTAAAAATATTTTTTTTCTCTGTAATAATCACCACTGCATTTGTTGGTCATTACACTTCTCAATTCTGTTGAGCAATTTATTGTTCATTTGTATTGTACTGCTCACACATAACGTGTTTAATTTACCTACTCATGTAGACAAGGATAAAAAAAATTTACATCTTTAGAAAATAAAGAACCTAATCGATTGTGGTAGGTTTTGTAAGTAGTATTAGTTGATTTCAAATCTAATGATTATAATAAGTATTGATTGATTTTAGAGGAGAAAAAAAAATCATAAACTACCGATGAAAATTTATTATTCCGAGAAATTGATTTCAACTGATTAAGAAAAAATCGTAGAAAATCGATTCTGCTAACTAATAATTGATTTTATCCAATTTCAATAAAAAACACTAATGATAATAAAAAAAAAAAAATTCATTCCGAATTGAATATGCAACAAAATCGATTCTAACGTTCAGTTTAATCCAAAAAAATTACAATTGCTTGATTTTTATCAATTAATTATCTCCAAAATCGATGAATATCATGTATGTGCTGATTTTTAGCCTTATTTTGCTTTACATGGACACAACTATTAGACAATGTCAATTGGTTGCTATGTTAAAAAATGCAATCGGCAGAAAAAGTTTCGTAGTATTAAAGAGAAATAGTTCAGAGAAGTTAATCTATTCAATGACAAGGATCATTAGATATGAGTATAAATACGAATATCTAACAAACTCTTTTAATTAGACATAATGTCTTATGCAACAGTAAATAGTAATTGTTTTGAAAATTTTCCATAATTCATACAATTTCTTTTCTTTTGGAGCTTCTAATCTGCTTCAACGTCAAGAAAAGTAAATCAATTTAAAAAAGACCAAATCTAGACATGCTCAGATAAAAAAATCTTGGATAGAGATTTTTTTGGTTCAAAACTTGTTGACACAATGTACTATCCAGTTTTCAAAAGTGCTCGCTCAAAACGGAATTTTTTCAAAAGTTAAATGCACCAAATGAAAGTCAATGTTGTTTTCTGTGTCATATCGCTAACGGTAGGCGTTTTTTTTTCTTGATAACTCTTCTGAACAAAGATCTCTCGCGTTAATTTTTTTTAGAGTGTCCAGAGCAACTTAATATACATGTAATATGTAAAAATTAGCTTCAAGCAAGTTCGTCATCACGAAAAACATGTTTTTATTTTGTGAAGTCAAGTTGTTAAGAAATGATTTAGCTTTTATAACCATTAGGCAAATAGATAAACAGAGTTTATCTTGAAAATTTTTTCTTCTGTAATTGTGTAACATATGTGTTTGAGAAGATGTTAAAGGAAAGTAAAAAAGAAATATAATTTCGAAAGGTATCATATTTACTTTGAAATAATCTATAAAATATTTTCAAAGCTTAGCAAACACTGTATGTTATCATCGTATCAGAAAGCATTCTGGATGTGCCTATGTAAGTGCAGTGAAAACGCACACTTACATCTTCTTCATTTGTAAGTTCATGAATGCCCATTTTATCGCACTTTATAGAAACATGGAATGTTGTTTCATCATTTATGCACATCTGTAATTATTGATAATCAAAAGTATAAGTATACTTGTATGCGAATAACCAAAGCTCAACAGACGAAAAGACAAATCAAGAACAAATATTTATTCTTCTTTAGAAACAGTTTTGCATAAGAAAACAAAAGTATACAGTGGCTGACAAAAACACTCAGGCAAGCGTAATATGAATGCTTTTTCCGTAGTTATAAACACTAAAAGCAATCCAAAAAAGTGGTTTGTATATCTCTATATATATAAAGAGGAAAGTTTGTTTGTTTGTTCTTCATGCATTTGGACACGGTACGAGCAAATGCAACGAAACTTTTCAGGGACTCTCCTCTCATCCAGGAGAAGTTCAACGACTACTTTTTATCGAAAAAACATCGGTCCTCCGCCTGCAAGAGGCTTGCCTATGTATGTTACCAATGAGATTGCAGCATTCAGTAGCTTCAAAGAACTACTTAGCAGTACGTTGTGAGCAAGCACAAGACATGTACCTAGGGGTTTTCAAGGGTGCTGAGCTCGAATCTGCCATCCATTTGCCTCGAAATCTGATTGATTGGCCGATTACCAATTGGAATCGAGCTGCAAAGAAAACAGACAAAAACATTTATACTTTCGGGAAAACGATGAAGTAGGGGTTTTTAGAAGCGGTGAGTTCGAATCTGGGGTCCATTCGCCTCGAAACTCTATTGGTTGACACGAAACGAATAGGAATTCAGCTGCTAAGAAATCAGCTAATCAAACTTGCGTTTTTGGGAAAAAAGTCAGGTAGTGGTTTTTAGAGACGTTGAGTTCGGATTTGGAGTCTATTCACCTCGACATCTGATTAATTGACCAAAAACCAATAGAAATTCAGCTGCTAAGAAACCAGCTAATCAAACTTGCGTTCTCGGGAAAAAGTCGGATAGGGGCTTTCAGAAGCGGTGAGTTCGAACTATAGATCCAATCATCTCAAAATCTTATTGGTTAGCCCGAAACCAATAGGAATTGAATTTTGGGAAAACGAATATCACTGGATGATCGGAGGAAGGACATTAGGAATTGGAAGTCTTTTGACCTCGATACCCCACTGGAACATCCGTGGCTCTACTGCGTGACCCATGCCATACACAAATCGTGTTTTGGGAAAATTGATTTCCTGGGAGTCGTGTGAGGCGGGCATTTCGAATAAATAGTCTATGAGACGCAAAATTTGTTCGTCATAGATATCGACTCCTTAAGTTGCTAAAAGGGCTGTTCCACAAAAATCTTTCTGTCTGTCTTTCTTTGTAACCAATCGGAATTCAGTATGATTCCAGTAGTAGAAAGTATGATGTATCGCCGTAATTCTCCCGATCAATAGGTATTGTGAACGCGACATTCTAGATCAATTAGATATGTCGTTGTGTTTAGTTTCGATCAAAGTGGATTTCTCTGGTAACGCTGTCGAAGAATCGATTGTCCATGTGGGCTCCCCACTAGAACACAACTAGACAGCTTCGGAACCGGGAACGTGATCAAGCGCGGCCGAGGCCAGTTCAGATCAGGGATGATCGAGACAAGTATGTGCTCTTATAAATGCTTGACCAAGATAAAAAGTCGACAGAACTCATACGTTTCATCAAGCTATATCTAGATGCGTAAGGACGAAGAATCCTTCACTTCTGATCAATTTTTCAATGTCAATATTTCATATCCGCCGAGAGCGAGAGCAATCGGGCCGGGACTTATAATATGGCCAAGAACCAGAATCAAAACCAGGACAAAAAATAGGATTTTATGCATGTCTACTTTCCACTGATTAGGTTTTCTTACATCTTCTCGAACGCAATAGGAGTTTTGCTTGCATATACTATGATTGAATTTTCCCGGGCAACGCCGGGTACTTCCGCTAGTATGAAATATTTTTAAGAAATATAAATTCATTTGAAATCATTGTACAAGCACTATGAATCGATATGATTTTTTATGTAAAATATATGATAAATTCTTCATATTTACATTGATATGAATCTCTCAAATGAACATGCACTGGCCAATAGTTACTTGTATGTAACATTACAAGTAAGAAATTCTATTTTTTACATTTGACTAGTCGATTTCATAAGAGAAGGAAAGATAGAAATAAGAAAAATACACGACAGAAATGATCGATATAATGTATTCGAATACATTATGTCGATCATATCTGTCATATCCTTTTCTTATTTCTGTCTATCCTATCTTATGAAATCGATTATTTCTATTTAAAATTTTTTTAGCGTATTTTCAATCTGAAATGAAGAAAAACAAATCAAAATTGAAATTAATATCAATATCAAAATCAACATCAAAATTGTCTGTTACGGAAAGAAATATAAGTTATTCAATTAGTTGGCGTACAACATTTGTCATGATCTTTTTAGATAATGGTCCTACAAGCTTATTTAGCTTATTTACAAGATCTTATATTGGCTGAACAAGATACAGTACGATGCAATAGTATACAACAACAATATGATTTATTTGTTACGTTACTTAAATTATTGTTAAAACAACACAGTAAACAAAATTTATTAAGTTAAATTTCAATAATATTTTAATAATCTTGTTTAGATGAAGAACAAGAAATAAAAGAAAATAAAAATAACAACGACGAGGGTGTGGGTGGACTGCGTGTGAGTGTGGGTGTAGATGGGCTGGGTGGGGTGCGTGTGGATGGAGTGGATGTGGGTGTGGTGTGTGTTGATGGAGTGGGTGAGTGTGGGTATTCTATTCTTCAAAACTGACACCCTCATTTCACCCACCCAAGCTCACCCATACTCACACCCACGCCCACACCCACAATTTGTGGTAGAATAACGTTGATATGAATATTTTATTCATTTAAAATCAAGCAAAAGAAACATATTATGTCGAGACTATTCGTTTTACTATGTATAAAAAAAACGAAATTAGATTATATATCAATATATTTTATTTATATTAAGCATCATTATTTAATGAATTTGTAATGATTTAAGTGACAAAAAATTAAACTTTTTTAATAATTTCCGAAAAAAAATAAATAATTCTCTTTAAGTAAATTTCATTCCATTTATCACAAAAGAAATATCTATATTTTATTTAATCTTTTTAGGTCAATTTGATTTACTATAAATATATGAGAAATATTTACATGTTCTCAGTTCAATAGATATCAATTTGTTTCATAACCAGGTTTTATTTTAATAAAAATACAATTCAAATAATATATTTATTTATGATAAAAATATAAATGAAGAAACTGTAGTTATTTCGCATATAGGAGTTTAAGAAAAAATAAAATGAAGCAAATATTTCGAATAATTACATTAAAAAAAAATTATCACAAAATTAATTTTCATTAATTAATTTTATGTCATTTCAAAATTTAGCACTTTATTTGGAATAAAATAAAATTTGTTGATATTTGTTTTGCATATTCGACATAAAGATCTAATGAAAAGGCAATATTGTTTGAAGCGTTTTTGGATTGAGATTTGGATTTGCTCTTTCGGAGGGGATTCAAGCGTCAAATCGAGGACGAAAGGTGTCCATTCGATAGAGCTCGCCGAGTTCTATCGATCTATGTTATTTTCAGCTTTTAGTCCCAGCTGGGAGCGAATCCCGGAGTGATTCTTGATTGAAAAACCAAGTTTTCCGGGTATAGGCAGATTTTAAGCGAGTGGAAGTATTTGAAATATGTTGAAAGGTGTCCGTTGGATAGAGCTCGTCGAGTTCTATCTGTTAGTATGGTTTTCAAGTTTTGATCCTAACTAGGTGCGAATCGTGGTGCACTTTACGAAAAAGATCGGATGTTTTGTTAATTTTTTTTACAGTATTTTAGGTTTTTCTCCCGCTCAGAATGATTTTAGAGGAAAAGAAAATAGTGCATTGGATGGAACTCGTTGAGCTCTATCTTGATCCGTAGAGTTTAGCCTCTGGTTCCAACTGTGAGCGAATCCAGTTGCGGAATATGCGAATCCAGGCCCAAGATATCCTACGTAAATTTTTTATAGGTTGTTGTATATTCTCTATTGATAGATGTCATTTATTTTGAATAATGACAAGAAGAAATAGTGGTTGCTGGCCAAAATCAAGCGTTTCTTTTTATGCAAAAATGATGAAAAAAGGGTCTTATTGTCTATTATTATATTTCGAACACTACTTTATCATTTAAAAAAATGGAAATAATAGTGGTATTATTGAAGATTGAGCTACAATTTGACTTCAATGGATCATCTTCTATTGCTGTCACAGTTATAAAAAAATGTGCTTTTTTAGGAGCTCAAAAAAATTGATGATTGCGTTACCTATGAACAGGCTGTATACAATGTGAAATTGTTTTGTAACAAAATTCGATAAGTAGTTAAAGTTCATGAATAAATGTTTATTTTTCAAAACAATATGAAATATAGTTTGTCAGAATTTAAGAAGCTTAAATTAATAACAGAATAATTCTTTTGCTTTCTTCCAACACCATTCGAGAGTTTCTTTTATACGAGCAAAAATTTCTTTTATCTTCTTAATTAATTATTGAAATAAATCTGGCAGCCATTTTAGTAAATGATTAGAAAATGAAATTTTAAAGTGTACTTCTTCTTTTGTATCTTCCGATTGTATTTTTAATTGTTGAATTGCTTGTTGTTTAAATTTATTCAATGTTTCTTCCAGTGCATTTTCTGTTTGTTGATTTAAAAAATCAGCTTCTTCTTGTGTTATACAACCACGTTCATCTATATTTTTCATAATACGATCTTTCTCTTGATTTAAAAGTTTTAAAATCTCTAGCGAGGACAAAATAAAATAAAGAAACAAACGAATATTTATTACATCAAAGAAAAATGAACTAAGAAGAACGAGAAGATATATTCAGGGAAGGAAAAAAGCAGAGAAGAAAAGAAAAAGAAGATATTTGAAGGTGGAACCTCTAACAGATTCCATCGCAAACCGTGGCAGACAGTTGAAGAGCCTGCCAGTGACTGTGCAAAACGCTTTTGGTATACGATCAAAGATAGTGAATTAATAACGCCTTATTATAATATGTAAACGTCTTCCTGATTTCACTACTGGAGGAATAAGTAATAGGATGGTTTAGAAACGCCCTACGAAAGAGATAGATTAAAACCATCTTCCAGTGATTACCAAGAGCAGCTATATTGTGTTTCGCATTTTAAACTCCCAAGGATTGTACTAACAGCTTTTCAACTAGAAATCAAAACAATTCTATGACATCTTAATCGCACTTGTGCTTTACTTTTTTATATATCTCTATCTCTTCATCAATATTTTTAACTATTTAACAAATATATATATATAGGATGAATAAGGACATTTTCATCACATATACGTGTGAGAGAAACGAAAAAAAAACATTACATATACATATATGATAGAAAAGGAAAAGTCCATCACCTACATATGACAAGAAACGAAAGCCTACGGCATATGACCAACAACAATGGAAAAAAAGTGATTTTAAATGTAAAGTAGAGGAAAAAAGTTTAGCACACTTTTTATTTTTTTTTAAATTCTTTGTTAAAAGAAAACTTCTTCAAGAGATCTAAATAATGATTTCGATAGTTCTTAGAGTGGTCTGCAAAGTTGAGATATAAACAATTTTGAGAGATTAGGCATTTTAGTTTTTATTAGACGAAAATATTTTCTCCAAAAGAAAAAAATTTAGTGCATTTTTAGTGTTTAACCATTTTTTTCATTAACCATTGATGGCTAAAAGCAGTTTCATATGATGTTCAATGCAGAATTTCACGGGCTGCATTTTGGTATAAAGCACTTATTTTAATATCAATTAAGGTATTAGTTAGTTATTAGCTAGTAATAGTTAATAATTATTTAATAAAAATTTCGCTTTGTTTTCAATGTTCAAGTAGTCTATGAGAAAGAGTATTAAAAAAATTAATAACACTATCTTACGTATAATGCAAAAGTAATGGCACAAAATGTCGATTCCTGTTTTTTTTTTTCGATAAAAGGATACTGAAAGAAAACTTTTTGTACCAAACAATAGAGCTTTTTCTCTTTTTTCGAATCGTATGTAGTCAGCTAGTGTAATTTGGAGCGCTATTTTAAAAAATCGATTTATCTCAGACATTGCTCAACTATTTTCGGACGAAGAAGGTTTTTTCATTAGCAGATAGCCCAAAGTGATTTCTACAAGTTCATATTAAAATCTAAAAAAAATAATTTTTTTATAGAATTTTTACAAAAATTGTGGGAGCCCTGAGAAAAAGATCCAAATGACATCAGTTGGAGCAATGTGGATTACTCCAGCAGAAATCAATAGAAAATCAATAAACTTAACTTGGGGGACCTGAAAAGATCTCATCAAATTTTTGAATCATTGAAATGCAACTCTCACTACACAGAGACTTACTGAAGTGAATTTTTTTTAAATTTTTCATCTGGTGTAATTCGAATCATTCTAGCAATTTTAGCTGGGGACAACTTAGAAAACCTCCAGCATTTTTTGAGTAGGTTTTCAAGTGTTGCTTTTCAGACAAAAAAAAATATTCATCTCACTTTGCTCTATCCCTTCATGTAAAATAAGACAAAAATAAATTGATTTGATCGATTATCATTCGAAATAATGAAACTTCACAAAAAGAACACTTTTTTCAACCTACCCTTCTCATCTTAAAGTTATTGTTTCATTTTTACGAGACCTCTCACAAAAAAAATTTCGACTTTTCAAATACAAAAAAGTTGCTACTACAAGCTGGATGTGAGTGTAGATGTCAGTGTTGAATTTCTCCACATCCACCTACATCCACACCCACACTCCAGCCAGTTAACACACCAGAAATCTGCATTGATGACCGATTTTTTTCTATTATTCAGATGCTTTTCTACTACGAGAAGCCAGCGATGCTAATACACCGGTCATCACCGTAGGTTTTTCATGGTCTAACTGACTCCACTGTTAGTCTCACTCAAAAAATTATTCATCAAACTCCACGAAAAGAATATCATTTTCACAATACAGGCTCTTCCTAACTGGAAAATTGACTTCAGAAGTTATCGTTATCAGTTACGAGCCATCATAACAGGAATCGACTAAAAATCGATCGATACACCAGTCCACTGGTCTACCGCTCACCAATGCACCTTACGATCTGGTGAACCGTGGACCGATGGACGGCTCACCGTTGCATCTCTATCCATACCTACAGCCGCCAGACCAAAATTAGACTGTCGACTTGTGATCTGACGTAGTCTACAGGCATATGATAAACCAGAATAGTTCAATTGATTCCATTATGTAATTCGTCTGACAAGAAGTTAAACTGCATTTCCTTTTCTCTCTTTCATGTATTATTCTGCCTATTGCGATGCATTTTGGAGCTCTTCTAATCATTTACTTTTAAAATTCTCCGAAATGCAATGCAGCCTATAACGACACTTAGTGTTCAATATGAACTAAGAAATTGATTTCAAGTAGACTTTGATCGAAGAGGAAAACGACATACTTCCATACTCTCGGGAATACAGTGGAAGTAAATGAAGTGCGTAAGTACGTCGTTTCCTCCTTCATTTGATCAGACAAAAAATTTTAACATGGCCTAGTCTGACAATGTGATCAAAAATTTTCTGAACGACAACAATAGGCCACCAGGACAGACTAGCAGCTCTGTGAATACCCATCTGAAAACGAATGAAATCAAGACAGTTTCCTATTGTTTTTAATTATGACCATGATTTCTTCAGAGTTTTCAAAGTTAAATTTGTAAATAAAATAAAACTTCGATTTGATATGCATTTTCTTTTTTACTATGATCACAAGTAGACTTAGAGATAATGTTGAAGATGTTCATGAGTGTCAAATCATTTCAGATCTTTCCAACAGAAAATGAAACGATACTCTGTCAAACGATTTTTTTTTAACATTTTAGGAGAGAGTTCGTGAGAGGAAAATGTTTTTCTTTATTCATTCTACTTATCAATATTAAGAAAATATCTCAAGAAGATTGCATGCTGGACAAAACTTAGAATAACTTTCACATAAAAATTATGTCGTAAGAATTTATAACTCTACATAGCAATATATCGTGTTCGTTTCATAAAATTCTCATCATCATCGAATTGGAATTTATTAGCTAATCGTGACTAAAACAAAAAAATTCATTTTTTATCTAATGTAGATGTCAGGTGTGTGGTTATGAGTGTGATCGGTTGAAAACGAGGAAGAAATGCATAACACAGCACACATACCGAGACTCACAAACATATCCACATGCATACATACGATATTAGCATCGATTGCGTTCGTAAAATAGTTTATTATACAGAAAGAGATGAACTTTTAGTCGAAGAATCAAGCGAGTTCCAATACCAAGTATTATGCCTTTCGTAAAAGATGGTTGTCAAAAAGCAAGAAAATTCGACAACTCTTACAGGCCATACAAAAAAGCTTACCGTTTTCGAGCCGTCACTGATCACATTGTTTCAATTTGCCATTGTCTATGATGAAGACTCAGTTCTTCTGATTTTTCCATTCTTACATAGATTATCTGCATACAGACACATTCCAATGACTCCCATAGGGCAATAGTGAGTTCACTCATTGAGAACAAGAAAGAAAACGGTAATTAGAAAGATGATGAATTATTTGAAGATTACAAATCAATTGTGACATTCAAAAAAAAAAAATTTTTATTGATGAAAAAGGGTATCTTATTTGTCTGTCATTCTATTACAGCCCAGATAATTCGTCGAGGTCGAACTTTTCAAGAAAAATAGCCATCGGTGTGGTATGTGAACGAATACGATCAATTTGATTCGATAACTTATTTGCTAAGGTACGTTTTCGCAAGATTGCATGGAACATAATAGCTATAACATCAATAGGAAAGTTTATGGATATGTCAAGTAAAACAAAATTCTACGAACCAAGTATAGGCAATAGGATACCAAAAAGAAGTATGAATAGTATATTCAAAAGGCTCAACTTGTAAAAGGCCACGCCGAGTAAAATGAAAAAAGCGAGAGCTGAAAGACCTTGTCTTGATGCAGATGAATGTCGCTGACGAATCGACGATACATTTCGATTGGCTTGATGTCTACTGGCAGATGATGAATCATTGCCCAAATTCACAAGACTGAGAACTAGACTCAAAATAATTAGAAAATCGACAGGAAACATGATCCTAAATCCGAGTTTATACATTTTTTCGAAAGCAATCATAGAGGTAACTTACCCGAGAAGCAATACACATGCGATACCGAATATAAAGTAATTGGTTTGATAGTAGATCAAATTACTGATAATTCGATTTTGTATTCGAGCATCATCGTCATACCTTGGTACATTCCATGTGGCATCGAAAAGAAAGTCATTGAGTGAACGAATAGGAGCTGTATGTATATCTCTTGATATTACTTGATCTTTTCTATTACTATCTATTTTTCTATCATATTTAAGTTGATCATTTTGTTTTTCAGGTACTGAAAAAATAAATTAGTACAACAATTTGTATCTTAACAGCTGACAATCACTACAGTGTTATGTTTTACCTCGAACGGGTTCAGGATTACGTTTTTTCACTTCGATTCGTTCGGTGGATACTAATTCTCGTTTTGGCACAATGGAAGGTGTATCATCGATACGAGTGAGTAACGAATCAGCGCTATATTGAGCCATAGCAAATCGTTGGAGTGTGTCGAGATGTACTCTATTCAGATTTTCAATCAATGATTGCTTTTGTTGCTGAAATAATTTCAAATAGAAATTGATCGAATATCTAATTTTTGAAAAATAGTCTTAATCTCATTCTCAAACGCAGAAGACAATATTAACAATTAGATTCGAATATATTTTTTTTGTTTTCTTATACAGTCTGAGATTACTTGCCTGTTCGGTTTCGTTTAAACCGGATACATTCTTGATGTATTTCATCGCTTCACTAGTTTTGATAATCAAATCATTGGTATTATCCAAAAGGAAATTACTAGTAGAATTCCGAAGAGAAAACTAGTTAATTATTCAGTATTAGAATATAGCATGCACATACATACAGGTGAGGTTGTGCAGACTTCCATCCTTCACGCGTGTGCAACGTGACAAGATTTTCGAGGTCAACGGCTAAATTCAAAAACAAAAATCAAACGAGTATGCATCAACATCATATACCATTGACTATAAGGTACGAAAAAAAAGGGCATACCATTGCGGAGAATTTTGTCCAAATTGGAAATAATGATTTGATGTAGTCGTATCAACTCCTTTGCCATGGCTATTAATAAGCTAAAGAAATGTAAGTAGTTCGTTATCACAAGGGCTTCAATAGTGAAGCAGAGTTTGTGACAGAGTATTGCGCAGCACACTCGGAAAGAATAAGCAAGAAAAACGCACTATCTGATGCGTTATCAAAATATACAACATGTCACCCACGTGTCATATTTATATCTTTGATTTCTCAGTATATCTGATACGTCATTATCACTCATACACTGATTCATAAATCTTTTGCAGGTAATCGAAAATTTGGATATTATCCCTTTCGTTTGTTTTCGGACGTGACGAACATTGTATAAATTAATTTTTCTTTTCAGACAAAAGCATGAAAATTTCTTTTTGATTTGATGTTATGCATTTATCATAATATAATCAATGCCTAAAATTAATTTTCAATAGTGCCGTTTCAGATCATATCTCTCTGTCATCTTCGACAGCTTCATTTGTTGGTTGAGTTTATTCATCAAAGTCAAACAAGATCTGAGCAGACAAAGATCTATTGAACAAGTAATCAATAATACGAAACAGTATGTTAGAAAAGAAAGATTTATATTTCATCAAATGAAACTTAACTCATTGAATAATGAATAGGTTTGGAATAATCGTTGAGAAGAGTAGTTACTACCAATTCGTGTATTGTAATGCCGAAGACCATGAGGACGTCGCTGAACAGTTGAGTAAAAATCCTTTTCGGTTAGCACAAAAGGAGCTTCTATTGATCTATTCTAATGCCCACACTCATTGCTATCCTTACTAATAGACCACTTATTTTCACTAGAATTTTTAATGATGAATACTGCCGATCACACTTGGAACCGGACCGATCGGTTTTCACCATTTTTTCTTATTGCTTTTTTGGGATACTAAAGCTGACTTATTTTATTGATTTTTAACGATTTTCACGGTTTTAATGATCAAGAGATATAAGCGTTGAAGTTTTCAACTGAGAAACTTTCAGTTGTTGTCAAAATCCTCAGTGCTAAATATTGAACTAACGCTCCCATATCGTAAATACCGGACAGTTTTTAGCGGCAAACCGCGGTAAATTGTAGCCATGGAAGCCGGTAACTGTACCGATAAAACCGCGGTTAACCGCCGGTTTTATCATATGGGACCTTCTCATCATACAATAAGAGCCTGAGATTATACTGAATGAATTTATTCTGTTCATGAAAAGGTAACTAGGTATTCTATTCCCAAAAAAGTTCACTTCCCTAAGTTCGGTCAACTTTAATAAAAATCTTCTAATCAATCTCCTGAGCTGCTCAGCCAGTAGAGGATTGTTCCCGATTATTCAATGATATGAATAACAGATGTCATTAGTTCTAGTACTCTTGTCTGACATAACTGAAAAATTTGATTTTTATTGTAATTTATAATGACTTCGAAAAAATATCTGTATTAATTTACAGGATTTTGGTAATGTTAAATAAACAAGAAAAAACTCGATTTGTAGATGGCGCTCGATTTATTAAAAAATTCGGGATAAAAAAGTTCTAGAAGAAAATTCTTACATAATTTCATTAATAATTTTTCGATTGTTTTTATTATTTTATTCTTTCTGTCGTTGAATTAACTTAATTATTGAGACATTCAACATAAGTAATGGCTGCTGATTTTTTTTTTCTTGTCGTTATATATTTGTTCCTGTCCTTCTTCTTTTTTTTTTCTTCCCTCTCATGGTCGCTTGACTTGTTGTTCATTAACTGTCTACGTGGCTAAGTCTGCCACGAAATTGATCTGAATCATTTTTTTTGTACTATGAATATAAAATATGAAATTTTTTTTAGAATTTTTCCATCTTCTTTTTATCTTTCCCATTTTCATTAAGTTATTCTAAGTAATAAAAAAAAAAAAAAAAAAAAACATTCGACAACAATCATCAAAACAAAATGGGAAATGTATTTGCTAATCTCTTCAAAAATCTCTTCGGCAAGAAGGAAATGCGTATTTTAATGGTTGGTCTTGATGCTGCAGGTCAGTTAATAAAAATTTAAAGAAATAAATATTAATCATCTTTTTCTTATTTAGGTAAAACAACAATTTTGTATAAATTAAAATTAGGTGAAATCGTTACAACCATTCCTACAATCGGTAAAAAAGAAAAATAAATATATTTTAAATTTAATTTCATTTAAATTTAAAATTTTTAGGTTTTAATGTTGAAACTGTCGAATATAAAAATATTAGTTTTACTGTATGGGATGTTGGTGGTCAAGTAAGTTATATTTTTCAAAATGATTTTATTTTATATATATATATATATATCGTTTTAATAAAGGATAAAATTCGTCCACTTTGGAGACATTACTTTCAAAATACTCAAGGTTTAATATTTGTTGTTGATAGTAATGATCGTGAACGTGTTGGTGAAGCACGTGATGAACTTCAACGTATGCTTGCTGAAGATGAATTACGAGATGCTGTTCTTTTGATATTTGCTAATAAACAGGTATGAGAATTTTTTTAGTTTAGAAGAATTTTATTATAAAACAAAACAAAAAAATTTTCATTTTAAAGGATTTACCAAATGCAATGAATGCAGCAGAAATAACGGATAAATTAGGTCTTCATTCATTGCGTAATCGTAATTGGTATATTCAAGCAACATGTGCAACAAGTGGTGATGGTCTTTATGAAGGTCTTGATTGGCTTTCAAATCAACTTAAAAATGCCAAGTGAACATTGATATAACAACAAAAATAATATTAAAAAAAAAAAATATCCATTTAAAACGTTTAAACATTGTCTCTTCGTTTTTTTTTTGTTTGTTTGTCTTTTGCAAATATATATATATATTTCAACACGATATATAAATCTACTTTTTTTTTTCTCTTTCTCTTATCGGAAAACATCTAACAATGGAAAATGGTTCGATTTCTTACGTTTTATTTATTCTATCGGTCTCTTTTATTTTAAAGGTGTTCTAGTATATATATATATGAAGGAAAATTCCCATTTAATTCTAATGATCACTTCAAGTGCCCGTTGTTTCTTTCTATTCGATCATGTTTTTCGCTCTGTCTCTTTCTCGTGTTTTTTTTTTGTGCGTTTGTTTGTTTGTTGTTATTTGAAAAATTTTGTTCACTTGGATTTCTGGTCATAGAAGAGAAAATGATAATACACCATTGTCTGAACAAGAAAAAAGAAAAGCATATATGAAATAATAAAGATTAAGTAAAAAATAAAAAAAAATTATGTTTTTATTTTATTTATTTTTTTGCAGGAAATAATTAAATTGCGTTTCTTAATATTTTGTATAATTTAAATATATCATTCGTATATGAAATCAAGATCGAGATTACAATCAGTACCAATGAATACAAGGTGATATGTTACTGCTGCTAAATGCAATTTTTCTTTTTCTTTTTTTGATTATCTGTCATGCTAAGTAAAACATAACGAAGTATTTATCAGCTGAAAATCCTTGTGTTTTACGGATAATGATATTACATGAATATTTGATTATGATAAGTAGAAAAGATTTAAGTAATGAATATAAATTTAATGATAAAAACTATTGAAAGTGTTTTATAATACAGGAATCAATATTAGATATATATGTTACAATAGAAATTAAAATTCTACTAGTAGAAATTGAAATTTTATTGAATTTTAATCTTCACTACGACATATATGTAAACATGAATGTTCTCATTTATTTCTTAATTTTAATCTTATTGTTTACGTATGAAAGCAAAATTTAACAGTTTTTCTTCCAGGTTAGATTAATCTTCTTGATTACTTCGTTGATTGTTAATCATTATTCGAGACTCGTCAATCATCAACCACAACTCTCTGTGTTTTTTTTTTGTTATACAAAATTTTCTTTGATGAGAATATATATGAATTGTCAGATTTAATTGCATACAGATATAAATCTTTTCTTTTTTATCTATATAGTATATAATTGCTATTGTTTTATCTAAATTGATTTTGTCAGATGCTTATTATTATTTATTTTTGTCTAACTACACATTGATCAAATATAAAAATGTGTAATAGTAAATTGAAAGACTCAAGAGAATAATCAAAAAAAAGTTTTATTGAATTATATGATAAAAATGGAACAAACATTTATGTTATTTGTCATTTTGTGTCTGTAGTTTTTTTCTGTTTTTAATCATTATTAAAAATTTCCTTCTTGTATTACATCATTGACATCTATTTGATTTTCTTTTTCTTTTTTGTATTTGTCAATTACTATTTAATTTCTATTTCGAAGTGTCATTTTGTATAGAGTCTGAATATTTGCATTTTTATATTTAACTTTAAATTGTCAATAGTAATTATTTTATTTTTGTAATTTGTGTTAATTTATTTATCAATTCTTTAGCTATGATAATAACAACAATGTTATTTGATGAAAGGAATCTTTTGTTAAATTGTTATCATAGGCGGTGGAGCTACGAGACATTTGCATAGACTGAAGTTTCTCATTCCATTAGATTCATGCAGTACATCAAAATGCTTATACAAACGCTAAAATTTTTTCACCGCCTACACTAAAAAATAGTAATATTTTCGTAATGAAGCAAACTTAGAAAATGTGTTAGAGTAAATATTAAATTTTGTATTATTAAATGTTAGGTTCTACATTGTGAATGACTTGAAGTAGTGAAGAAGAAGAACTGCTACTAGTCGATGATTTTGACATCGTTCTTTCCAGATTCTTTTTTCTTGTTTTTCTTGTCTGATTCTCTTTTTTTTTCTTATATGTAACATATTTATTAGAAAAAAAGGAAGTAAACTATAAAACAGATTTACATAAAAATAGTGCAATATAAATTATAATAGAAATATTTTACATAAAATTAAGAAAAAAGCGTAAAGTATTTTATTTATATTAAAAGTATAATATATCTATTAATAATACTTTGCTGTCTTCAGGGGTTATCACCTGAAGCTAATTAATGATCGACACGTCGCTAAGACATTGTCTTCTAAAAATTCTAAAATTATCCATAATTTGACTCATTAATATGTTTCAATGAATACATCTTTACTTTTATATATATATTGACTTATGTGATGTCGATATGGAACTAATAGGTTATTTGAAAATAAGACATTTTTTTTTATTTAAATGATTACAATAACTATTATCTATCATTGTTTAGAAATGAAGAAATAGTATAGAGATGTTGATGTATATATAGACACATGTACACAAAGACATCACGCAATGTATCTTGAAGATCAGGCAAGAATCTTTTTTCTTTCTTGTTAAAAGAATTTTGGCTGATTAATCAAGAAAAACAAGAATCTGAACAGAATAGATCCAAGAAGCTTGATTAGTATGTACCAAAAATTCAAATTAGATAAACTAACGGTTATCGAAAGTTTTCTTCGCCTTCAGTAAGTAATAGAGCTTATCGGATCTAAAATTTTTGTAATGGAAAAATTTCGGATCCAACACCAATCTGACGGGTTCTAGTAGTTAAACTTAGTTTGCCTAAGAAACATTTTAAACAAAATAAGCAATTTCAAAATATAGTTTCTTTTTTCTTTTGTGAACAGTACTACTTCAGCATTATTCTATTTTTCGGTAAAGTAGATCAAGGGCATGGTTCATTCCTTATCCCACAGCCAAAATTCATGCAACCGGTGTACGATTATGATATTGAGCAAATTCTTTGTCTGTCTTTTGAATTATTTGATGGATGATCAGAAATAAATTCTGGTGGAAAATATTTATCAAATTGTTCATCTATTTTTTGCCAAAAAAGTGATCGTTTCTTTTGAACCGTAATCAGCACAAATCATGTACAATAAACAAATATGATCAGCTTCAGATTCTTATTCACGAAAAAAAAAACAAAAGGTAATGTTGCTTAATATTTTGCACCAGCACTTAGCGTTATCGTTATTGTTTATTCATATTTATTATTAGATAAATTAAGAATTAAATACAGACGAAATAGAAAAAAAGAACTAAATCTGTCTTTGATTTGGATCCATTCGAGCAAGACTTTGTTGGACACTACCTTAGTTATTTCAGAAGGAAAAAACCTTTCAGCACCATGTCTTAAGGTAGCAAGTACCATTTCATGATTGAATACTGTAGCTAATCTTGCTTCATTTGCCTGTGGGTGTTAGTGTTCTGAAATATCATCATAATTAATAAATTTTCAATAAATAAATTCCGGTAGCTCCTAGTAATTGTGTGTAAAAATAAAAATTCCTCGCCTCTCGACATCCGAAACATTCCGGAAAGTCATTGGATATAGGCAGGCCCGGCCGAAATCGACGATCTGGATAGGTTAACATTAACCACATAATTAGTTTTTTGAATTTCTAACCCTTTATTCCATCAATCAAATTTGAACTTTTACTTTTTTTGTAAAAGACAAGTAAAGAAATTTCTTCAGATTTTAATAATCCTTTAATGATTAATTGAGTGTACATGTCTATTTAAAATTTTCATCATTTCCTATAATTATTGAATGAAAATTCGAAGCTATTCGTTTTTCAAATAGATGTTACTTATACGTCAATAAAAAAACACATGCTTGTGAATAATATTTAATAAGTATTCCATCCATAATTTATATTATAATGGGTTCTTTTTTTTCAAAACTTTAATATTTAATTAGAATCAATTTATATTTTATTTTCTATGAATATCTAAATAATACTCATGGCTCATATTTTATTTCTTTTATAATCCTCTGCCTTAAAGGTTTCTTTGAAATACTAGCGAGTTTTTAATACTCGATAAACTCGATATTACTAGTTTCCATGAAAAGATTAACCTATTCGAAAATTCCTTTCAAAAACGACAAAGAATGCATTAGTCCTATAGATATATATCCTTTGTTATCAATCAATATTCAATTATGAAAAATTTAGCATAAAAATTTTGGCAAAAAATTAATCCTGCAGATAAATATATCGATAATAATATGTAAAAAAAACTGAGTGCTAGTAGAGCCTCAGAAAACGCGCCCTAACTACGGTTACGTTTTTTTTCCACAAGCGACAAGAGCGAATTTCTCTGACGCATCCGGTTGTGCTACGAGCCTGCCAGCGGGTGGCGAAAATGGCCCGGGCATTCGTTTAGATCACATACTATCTACTTGGATTGAAAATTAATCGAATTGCGCAATAACATATCCGTCCGCGGCATATATTCATTCTTTTTCTTACTTGATACGTAAACTATCTATATATAGATATATATATATATATATATATTTTGTCGTTCTTTTATTCTCTTTTATTTTTCGATCAAATACAACGTTTGAATTTTTATGTATTAATAACAAAAAAACAAAAGAAAAAACACACATGCTGTTCTTCTTCTTATTATTATTTTTCTCTATATGAGACATAGCTCATTTGAAAACAAATAAAAATGATCGAAATTTTTTAGTTTTTTGTGTTTTTTCCTTTTTTTATTGATAATGTTTATCACCCATGCCAACTGTTAATTTCTTTTGTGCATTAGCAAGATGCTCACTGTATTCTTGAAATGGTGTTTTAGTGAATACAGTTTCTTTCCATAAATCAGGTGTTAAATATGAATAAGTCATTGCCATTGCAGCATATGTTGCTTTAGCTAAAACAAATAAAAAACAACTATACAAAAAAAAAAAAAAGAATAATCCATAAAGAAAACATACCAAAATTGCCCAGTGTGGCGGTACATCCTTTGGCTGCTGTCCAACAATCTTGAATACCAGCCATTTGAAGAAGTTTCTTTGGTACAGGAGCACATACAAGACTTGTTCCACGAGGTGCTGGAATTAAACGTACAAGTACACTACCACAAGAACCTGTTACCTAAAATAAAAAACAAATGAAATAATTTAATTTTATATCGAATATTCATACTTTGCATGGAACTGTATGTGGTAAACCAATTTTATTACCCCAATAACCTCGTCGTACAGGTATAACGGAAAGTTTAGCAAGAATAATAGCACCACGAATAGCTGTTGCTACTTCTTTTGAACATTTAACACCAAGTCCAATATGTCCTTTACCATCACCAACAACAACAATAGCTTTAAAACGAGTACGTTGACCAGCACGAGTTTGTTTCTGTACGGGCATAATTTTAAGTACTTCATCTCTAAGATCAGGTAATAGACGATCGATTATATCAGCTTCCTAAATTACAAAAAAGAACAAAAACTTCATGTTAAAAAAAGAAAAACTCGATTCGAAAATAAATAAACAAACTTTGATTGGTAATGAAAATAGATAGATTTCTTCGAGTGAACGAATTTTAGCATCATTAACTAATCGACCTAGTTTGGTGACAGGTACCCATTGTTTACTTGTATCGTCTTTTTGTCGTTGACCACGACGACCACGACCACGACCACGACCTATAAATAAGTTTCTATTAAAATAATATATATATTTATTTTTGTAAAGTATACTTTCGCCACGACCACCGCGACCACCGCGACCTGTACATATTAAATAAAGTTTTATGAAAAAACAACGAAGAACTTTTTTGTTTTGTTCTAAAACTAACCTCCTTCACCACGACCACGGCCACCTTCACCACCACGTCCTAAAGGTTTTAGAACATACAATAAAAAAATTTTCTAAAGGAAATCTTTATAATTACCGCCTCGTGTGCCAAATCCACCTCGAGTTCCACCACGTTCAGCCATATTTGATCTTGAAATTAATAATTATCTGAAAACAAAAAAAAAAAACATTTGTTCACATAATTCATCAGATCAATATTGATTTTCATTAATTGAATTGATATCCTTCATACCTACAAAAAAAGAAAAGAAATATTAAAATGTTGTCAACAATAAACGAATCTTGTTTTTTAATAAGAAAACAAGAGCAGGATGATGACATATTTTTATTTTATTATCCCTGCTGTGTCTTAAATGAACATAACATAACATTAGTCAATGTCCACAAATGCCAACAGGTTATTAAAAGTTTTATTTTTATTTTCTTTGTTGTCAACCTTTCAGTCTTCACTATCTATGATAAGGATAATAAGAACAGAGTACTATTGACTTTTTCTCTTTGTTTTTCTTTTTCCTGCATTCGACTATTCGTGTTCAACAAATTACATGTTGACACTTGATATATAATCGACAGGAATGTTGTTGCTTTAGAGAAATATATTTTTGTATGTCTATATGGCAAGGTAAAACTATTGTTTCTTTCACAGAGAAAAAAGAAGAAAGAAAAATGAGGTTTTTTTTCCTTTCATTTTCATGATATATATGTCTGACAAGTTCGCATCTTAGCAACAGAACAAACATAAAAAACAGCTCTTTTCTTGTAGAATCTACAACATAAATTCATACATACAATAATCGATTACACGAAAAGCTTCTCATACCAGAAATTAAAAAAAAATGTTATACATACCAACAGCAACATTAGCTACACCAATAATTGTTCAACAAACTCAAACAATACCAATACAAACAACAACAACAACAACAAGTTATTATATGTTACCAACAATAACTCCAATAGTACCAGTTCTTAGTACAGCATTTCTTTATCCGACATATCGTGTTACAACAAAACCGATTGAAAAAATTGATACTGAGAAATCTCAAACTTCTGAAGGTATCTTTTTGTTTTTTTGAAATTAATAAAATACAAAAAAACTTTAAATTATTTATTTAGTTACACAATCAGTTCAACATATTATACATCATCATCCTACTCCTCCTCCAACATGTTCAATAAAACATTGTCCTGGTTATTGTGAATTATGTTGTCCATGGATAAAACAATCACCTGAACGACAAATACGATCACGATCACCTGAACGACAAGTACGATCACGATCACCTACACCACCAACACGTGATCAACAACGATATTCTCGTCGTGATGAATACGATCAATCAAAATATAATACTTATAAAGATGAAACAATCGATGAAAAAATCGATCGTATTCGACGTGAATTAAATTTAAGTTCATCTTCAAAACATGATAAATCGACAGAAACAATTGATTATTATCATCCCACAGCAACAAAAACAACTACTAGTACTGAACAACGTATTCCATATAAACAACATTATGATCCACCAAAACCACGACCACGTAGTACATCATCACAGAGGTTAATAAAAAAAAAAAAAAAAAACAATCAGATTTTTTTTTTCTTAATAATTTCTTTTTTCTTTTTAGATCATCATCATTACCACGTGAACCATGGCGTTCAACAAATCAAAATGATTATCCATGGCGTGATGCTCATTTACCAGCATATCGTCAAGAAACATTAAATCGTTCACAAACACCTAGTAATGAACGTCATCAATGGAATGAAACAGCTCATCAACGTAGTCATCTAAATACACAAAATCAATCATCATATTGTACAAATAATTATATCTATCGACCAAAATCAGAAACTGAAACTCGTAAATATTATACACAAACAACAGGTAAAAATCCTGATTCTGAAGTTTATCAAAATATAGCATCATGGTGTAATAAACAACAACAACAACAACAACAACAAACAAAAATGGATCATTCATTTTATTCGGATATACCAACAACAACATTAAAACAAATTGATTGTACATCATGTCATAGAAATGATGATAATTGTTTACATATTGTACCTAAATATGGTAGTACATTAGATCCACCTTATTTAAAAATTTTTAATGCACCTGTAACATATCTTCATTAATTATTTACATATTATTTGACTATAATTGAATTTATTTTATTTTTGGCTTGCTCTCTTTCCTTTTTGTAGTACAAAATATGGCCCTTATTCAGAATATTTATATATAAATTTTTTCGAATTTCAAAAAAATAAAAAGATTAGAATTTTTTTACGAATTTTCTTTTTCTGTTTTTTGTAAAACAACAACAAAACAACAAAACATTTCATTTCTGACATCTATCGAAAAATGACCTAATATTAATATCATTTTAAATTATGATTTGAATTGCTAATAAAGTTCTCTAGTAAATATATGAACGCTTCATAGTCGAACTATATGCGGAACAAGTTTTTAGATTTCAGAAGACGTCAGTTACATACAAACGAACATAAAATATAAAGGGTCAATGAGTTTTTTTTTTTACGAACATCATAACAAACGTAAAAAAAAGCAAAAGATAACTACAAGATTTTTACTTCAGAATATGAGATATGTAGGACTGTAAACGAATAGTTCTTCTACGAAATGGTGCAAGTTCTATTGCGATTTCCATAGAGAGCGCCACATCTTCAACTAAACGTATTAAATATGGTGCCCTATGCAATAGAACTAATTAACTACAGGAAATCTTCCTCTACAAACCTACATAGATCTCGCGTGCTGGAATTATAAACTTGCAATGTAGTGACGGAAACAGAGAGAGCTTATGAAAGAATCGCCCGAAATGATTCACCACTTTTGAGCTCATATAGACGGAACCTCTAGATTAGAATAACCCTAAGAGGATGTCTCCTCTACAGATTTATAACAATTTTAGCCTATGGTACGGCATGTACAAACAAATTGACTGACGTTATTCACTTCGGACGGTTCCCTCGTAAGCATTAAAATAAACTTGTTCTTATAATTTGTACTAGTACTATACTTTCCATGAAAACACACGTAAATATTCTATGATTTCGTTCTTATCTATTTCCATGTTTGAATATCATTATAGATATTATATTATCAATATCGACAGAAAAAAAATAAACATCATTCTGTCTTGTTTTTTTCATCATAATAAAACAAAGAATATAATCTTACCGGAAAAAAACAAAACAAAAAGTATTCTTCGATCAAAATTGATAATCTGAAATAAAGATGAAAAACATTATTGATAAATAATATGTTATTATCTTTAATTTGTTCTTATTTCATACATATACATACAAACTGAAGAATGAAATATAATTATATATTTTTTTAGAAAAAAAAAAATTGAACTTTGTCACAAATTTCTTAGCCAACAATAAGCGACTACACACAAATATATATATATAAATATATACACATACAATTAAATAAACATCTATGAAATCGAAAAAAGAACTGTTTTAATAATATTAAAAAAAAAAAAGATTATTGCAAACAGAAACACACACACACTAATCATTGATAGTAAGGAGATCTTAAAGATCTGACAAATAAGCAAGTACATGACAGAATTACAAAAAAAGAAAACTAACAGACAAAGACATTGTTGCACAAGGAATGTTTGATGGTTTTAAAAAAGAAATCATTGAGCAAATAGAAAAATCGAGTACTAAGAAATAATAAGTAGAGATTTTCGTGGTGAATGAGTAAATTCAACACTAGCTGAACGTCGTAATGATAAAAGTGGACCTAATGACTGTTGTTGGGATGAGATTTGATAAGAATTTGATATTAATTGAGCTTGATTTGATTGATTTTTTGGTATAGATAATGATTGTTGTTGTAAACGATTATTAACTAATGATAATGCTTCAAGTTTAATAGCTTTTTCTTTGGTTAATAATTCATCAGGAAATGATATTTTATGTTCTTTAGCTAATTGTCGTAAATCAAAATAATATTTTGCATATATTGATGAACAAACATTAACATTAAATTGAAGTAATTGTACATATTCACGTTCTAATTCATTCCTATGAATTAAAATTTTCGATTCGTTCTTTTTTTTTTTTTTTTTGGTTAAATACTTACATCTCACTAACAGTTATATCTCGAAGAATTTGACAAAAATCAACATTCCATACAGCTTGATCATCCCATACTTTTGATGCTAACATAACTGCACCTATAAAACAAAAGAACTAGTTTTCTTTCTTTAAGATGAAATAAATTAAAATACTAACCAAGTACAATTCGTTTCCAATTCGATGGACATAAATCAAGTTCACCATAACTTAAAACACGTTCGAGATAAACCTAAAATTAAAAAGAATTATTATAAAACTCTTGTTCTCTATATCTATTTCATACATAGAATTGAATGGACTATTTTTTTTTCTGTTTATAAATATTATTAACTTACAGCAATATTTCATTTTTAACTTTCAAGAACATCATTCGAAAAAAGCATTGAAAACTAAATCAAATAGTATATATTACTTTTGTTCCGGACACCGATTCTAGACTGTGTTTTTTGTTTTTAATTGAAAATAGTCTTTCTTGTGGACATGGACATCGATCGACACCTATCGTTATTTTAATTTTTACTTACGTCTTGTGAAATAAAAATCAAAGTAACCATGGATGGCTGTGTGATCACAAAATAATCTATATTTCGGTTGAAAACAAAAAGCCCAGTCTAGAATGAATTGTTTCAGTTATTTTGCTCAGATAATGCGATTGATTAAAATTAACCCTCGTAGTAGCGACCAGGATCATTTTTGACTTCACCCTCAAAAATTTAAAAATATGCTAGAAATATTTTGTTGTTTCCCAGTTTTTAGAAGCAACTAGCATCAGATATATATAATAACAAAAAGAGAAAAAGAGGTACAAAGCGGTGGTCACTTTGTATCTGTTATGGGATGATAGGACATTGCTGCTATAAACGCTTTGATCGTCTGGAAGGCGAGAAATTCTCAATGGAATCAAGATAAAAAATATCAATATCGATTATTCCTAGAAAAATTAGGACTAGCTTTAGTATCACATCTGTTGGATTTTCTCTCAGAAAAAACTCAAAGTTTTAGAACACAGATATTCAAAATTCATTAGCTACTGTCGATCATCCCGGACGAAAAAGAATCTATCAGAACCAAATGAAAATTCTACTCAAACAAAACGAAAAACGGTGTTCGATTTGTAAACGTTCTATGAACTAGCCGATACTACAAGGATTAAAAGCGTTGTATCGACCGAACAATATATCACATAAGCAGGGTTACTGATTCAGAGAATAGGGAGCTATCCCTCCAAAACGTCCGGCTTTCTGCGAAAATTTTTACAGCTGCTGAGTAAATAGAGGATTACGGCGAGTTCATATAGGAGGGAAGGGGGACGGACACGACCTGGTGACAGTTGTTGAAGGGCTGGAAATGAGAGCAATTTCTGGGAAAATTTTTAGCCCTGCTACTCTTGAAAATAATCGACACAACTACGTCTCATTTGAAAACATAAAATCCCAAGTTTTTGAAATTGACTTGTAAAGTTGAACAATACAATGGAATAATAAAATTTATTCAGTTGTTTACAATCCTACTGAAAATCAATCATTTCGACAAAAATAGTTTAATTTCTAATGCGCTGCTAAATGATATTTGAAAGTTTTATTCCTTGGGAAAAAATAGTTTCAATCATTAATATTCAAACAATATGTTTTAACGAATTTTGACTTCACAAGAACTAGATGTTTGATCAGCACTTAATAATATTCCCTCGTTAGCTTTATACATAAAATTTACCAATGTAACAATAGCACATTCAGCAGTTAATTGTGCAGCAGTAAATAAAATTCTCATAAATCGATAAATTGTTTTCTGTTCAGGTATTTGTTGATCATAATCATCAGGTACTGGATCTTTCTATAACATAAAAAAAAAAATTTTCTAACCAAAAAACAAAAAAAAATTTCATTAACATACAGTTAATGGATGAAGTTTTTCATCAAATATATTCATTGTATTATTTGATTTTCTATGAAGAATATGTGAATGTATAGCAATACTAACACATTTTATCATAGCTTTCCAATTTGGTTGTGAAACAGTTGAATCATCAACATAAATAGTTGAACATGAATTTGAATGTTTTTGTAAAATATGTGTCATATCACGTTGATAATATGTTTGATTTGATGAAATTGATATTGATGGATTTAATGTTGACCGAGATGATTTATCTTTTATTGATAAAATTATACCATTATTTGAAATTTTTGATATTGATTGTTGTTGCTGTTGTTGTTGTTGCGTAGAATCTTTTGTTTGCTCTATAACAAAAACAAAAAAAAAAAGTAAAGTTCTTTTCTTTTAACGATTAACTAACGAAGCATTGATGCAAAATATGTTGATGTCGTTGGATTATCAGACGGTGCAAGTTCAACATCAGAATCTAAAAACAAAAAAACAAAAATTAAATTTTTCTTTGTAACATAAATATATGAATGAATTGCAACGTTGTAGTACGATTGTTTGGTTAATAAATTTTATTCGTACTGATCGATTTGAATAGCTTTTTTTTTATATATTTACTGGTCTGTGAGCAGCTCACATTCAAGAAAATCAAAAAAAAAAACAAGATTTATCATGACAAATACGTTTCCGTTTTCGTACAGAATGATATTACTGTTCAACTTTCGGAAAATAAAGCTAATAAAAATCTTTAGTGTGATCTCAGTCCGATGCAAATTTGAATCATCCTTTAACTTAATCCTCTAGAAATGCAATAAGGAAGTACAACGAAGCGTTATTGATATACGATCTGTGATTGTATATCAACAACGTCTGTGGGTAAAGTTCAGCGGTTCCAAAAATAATGCGGGACCGTAGTTTCGGTTCCGGTTACTCAAAATGATAAAAAAAAGGTTCCGATTCGGTTCTCAAAATATAAAACTGTTAAATTATCTGATAGATACGAAAATTTTAAATCCTTTTTTGAAAAATTTTCACTATTGAATTATTAAGATTAAAGACGTCACATAGTTTAGTACTTAAACAAAACAATATTATACATATATACTGAAATGTTTAATCTCAAGAGTGAAAAACTGAGGATTTCTTGACATCGGCTTAAGAGTTTTTATATCTATCAGATGATTTAACAGTTCCGATTTGGTTCCAACTTTTTACTCCAATATTTTTTTAGACCGTAAAAAAGTCCTCTGTCGCTATAGCTATCCTAAATAAATCAAAAGACTTGAAACATTCACAAAAATCTATTCTCGTTAGATGCAACGTTCTAAGTCGAAATTCGAAGATTAGTTTTTCTGCTACTATAGCATACAATTAAAAAAAAAAGAAATAATTACTACTCAAAAATTGTTTAGGTCTACTTTCAATTTTTCGTATTTCTATTTGCAATTCATTCATATATGTATTAAACCTACGATTTCCATATATTTCCGAAACATGAATTTTATTATCATAGGATGCTGGTGAATTATCGGTACCATTGTAAGGATAATTTGTATTGTTACCACTACGTGTTTGTCCATAATCACTGTTGCTAAAAAAAAGAAATTTTTGATTAAAGACAAAAATGAAAAATTTTTTTCTTAAATGTACTTGTATTTCTTCACTGTTTTGTGGCAACAAGGACAGCAAAGACTGATAATGATACCCATTGATAAACATTTTATATGATATAGAAATGCCCAAAGGCCATATTTTGGATATTTCTATTTCAATTTTTATTTTTATTTTTTTTTGTTTCGTTAAAATAAAAAGAGTAAATATATGTCCACTAGATGTTAGTATGACTCAGAAATAGTGATGGTGGATTGTTGAAGCAGTAGAGAACCTCTCAAGAATTAGAAAAAAAAAGATATTTCTATTCTTTTTTTCTTAAATAAATTTATTTTATTAAAATATTTATTATGATTAAAAAAAAACAAAGGTTAAATTTTGAATTATTATAGATGTCACTAGGAAAAATAATATACATTTAGATTTTCTTTTATTTCTTAGAAGAAAATTTATTTAATTGATTTTTTTATATTAAAAATTAAATTATATATATTCTTAAATCTAATCAATATGACCTTGAATAATAAGAAAAATGCCCGCACATGTGTGGATACGCATATGGAGAATCTGATCAGATGAGAATTTTTCTTTCATTTCTTTATATAACTTGGAGTGCGTTTCTTTTTTTTTTGTCTTCTTTCACTTGTACGATTTTTTCTTTTATTTTTATTAATAAAACTATTTTGTAGAGAATTAAAATAATCAACAACAATGCACTTAACACTTATTGTTCTCGTTGCATTGAGTAAGTGTAGAAAGATTTCAATTTTTTTTTGTTTTTTATTAATTGATAATTTATAGTTCCATCAATAACAACTTTAAAATGTTTTGTATGTAATTCGAATGAACATCCTACTTGTGCAAATGCAGGCGAGTTAAATATATTTCAAAAAGAATGTAATGTAACTGTTGAGCCGCATTGTCGTACAATAACTCAAACAGGTAATAACAAAAAAATAAATAAAACGAAAATTATATTCTATGTTTTTCTTTTATAGTTAATCAAGAAAAAAGTGTTGTACGAGCATGTGGTTCAAAAGCCACAACAAAAAGTTGTTATAAAACTGCTGGATTTAATAATGTAAGATAAAAATTGTTTTTATTCTTTTTTTGATATTCAATATTAAAAAATTTCAAAAATTAATTAGGCTAATGTTTGTTCATGTAATACGGAGCTTTGCAATAATGCACCAAATTTCAATCGACAACAACAAATAATGACGATTCTTTCATCAATTATTGTTGTGGCAATAACAATGATTATGCTTCGTTGAGAATGAAATAATAGATTATTTTTCTTTTTTTTTCATTTTGGTATTCATTATCCTAAGTCATTTGTGTCTATCCCTTATCTTAGCTTTATTTAAAAGTTAATAATCAAAAACTTCTATTCGTGTATTTTAGTCAATTGGCAATGATCTATTTTTTTTTTGTTCTTGTCTTCCCTTTTTTTTTCTTTTTTACTACTTTAACATTTGTGTCTATATTGTAGTCCCTATGTGATGCTTTCTGTTTTCGTATTTGTATCATCGTTTATCCCTATAGCATAGAAGAAGATTAAAAAAGAGAAAGAAAGCATTGATAAAATGGCTTTTTGTTTTATAGAACGTAAAAAAAAAAAAAAGGAAAAGCAATAAATGTTACATGAAATTTTTGTAAAACTAATTCGAAATATATAAATCGTTCTAAAAGTCATGGTCATTTTATAAATAAATATAATTCAGCTATTGATTAAGCTTAATTAAAAAATTTTTGTTTTTTGCTCTCTTTGAAATTGGACACTACAAATAAATTTTTATTCATTAACAATATACAAAAGGTAACATTTTCAACTATAATTCAAAAATTAGGTTGTTTTTTTTTTATGATACGAACAAAAAAAAAACAATATGCACCATTTTTTTTTTATTGACTTCGGAATCATTTAAATCTTTTATCGTACCATTATAAAGCATTTGTTTTATTATATTCTTATGTGAAAAGAAAGTCAATTTAATGGTCTAGCGTATTTGTTTCCACGGTTATTAAAATTTTTAAGGAGTTATATGAATCGATTGATTTAAAATATGTCAAAACAAATGTTATACTAAAAGTTCTAAATAATCTGAAGTCCTTAAAACATTACATAGCATTGAAAAAATTTCAATTATAGCTACAATTATTTTCCTTTTTATACATACAAAAATTTTCTTTTGTTCGAATAAATTTTTGACTTTAGTAAAAATCATTATCAAATTCTGTATATATATATGTATATCATTTCTTGCTATTTATCACCATCACCTAATGCTCATTTCAAAAAAAAGTGGGCGGGTGGATTCAATAACTTTTGATAGTAAACGCTGCGATTTTCACCATTCGAAAGAGGAGATGAAGTCGCATTGAATATTATATTATAGATTTATCCTAAGATATTTTTTTAATCAAATTTATAAAAACTTTCTTTTTCACAGCAATTGTTTGAAGAATCGACCAAGAATCTTAACTAGAGTAACCATCTAAAATCTAACGTTTGCGTAGTTTTGTAGATCTTTCATTGGCGGTTCGGATGCGCATCTGTCAAACGAAAATTCACTATAGTCATCTCACACGATACATTGATTTTCAAAAAGGTCGATTGAAAACTTTGAAAAAAATCAAGTCGAAAAGACTTCTAATATCCAATTCGATACGTCTTCATCTTCTCTTTTTAACGGTGAAAATCGTTGTTTTTATCAAAAGTTATTAAAAAAATTTCCATCCATCTTCTTCTTTTTTTTTTTAAATGAGCATTAAGTGATGATGGCCAGGTTTAACATCAAGTTCCTAATGATGAACAACAATAAATGATAATACGTACAAAATTTAATAATAACTTTTACTAAAGTTAAAAATTTATTCGAACAAAAGAAAAATATTATCCTGTATAGTATACAATTAAAACTTGAACATATTTAGCGTTTTTTTTTTTCATTTATGAATACATCGTATATTAAATACGAAGAATTTTTATAAGAAATAATAAAAATAAAATTTGATGAGATAAGAAGTAATAAATGTATAGTAATAAATTTTGTGATGATAAATATATATATATATATATACATAAGTCTATTGAAAAAAAGATAATCAACATGACAAAGAATTGATAATGTATAGAAGAAATATAAATTTCGAAAAGAATTGCAGATGACAATTTCCCATAAATATTACTTTCAAACGTATAAAATCGAAAAACAAATATGCTCTATCTATTACCGACTTCAATCTTAAGCTAATTGTATAGCAAATCGAGATTTTATAATATAATATTTTCACTAGCCTACATCGCCGATTTATCATCCAGTTCCAGAAGAAACTCTTATGTAATATTATCATCCAAAAAAAAATGATTCATTTATCAATAGAATATTTTTTTTTTCTTTGTAATCCTATTAATCCGATACTAAACAAAAACAAAAATATCAACAGTAACATTTATGCCATTTCTTTCACGGACAAAAACAAAATTGAACTCTTGTACACATGCAAAAAAACAGAAAAAAAAAGCCTGAGTTAAAAATAAACAAACATGAACAGGAATGCATTCTCATCATTGTATAATATAATTATACAATGAGTATCAAAATGATTTGACAAAATTTGTTTTCCGTTGATTTAAACGTTAGGAACAGTTCAAATAGTGATTCGAGTAGAGAAAATTCTTTTTTAACATTTAAAACATGTCAATATAATTTTATTTAGATTACTTAGACTGATAGAGTAAACAATTCTCTACGATGTATTTTGATTGAAATACAGAAATCTGATTCAAGGTTAAAAAATGGGGCTTCTGTAATGTAACTATAACCCACGAGGGAACATAACCAACTGTCAGACATCGTTCTGCTTCATATTGTGGTCTCGGTGGAGTTAAGACAAACTCAAAAAAGATTTGAGTTTATAGTCTACTAATAACTCGTTTTAATGAAAGCAAGGCACTATCGAAAAATCCGAAACAAAGAGTTTTAGCCTATAGGCATGTTTGATAGCCATTTGATTTTTGTTGAAGTTTCAACGAAAATGAACATGTATATTTAATCTCGAAATAGACTCGATTTTTGTGTCGTTCTATAATAAATCACTGCTTTTTTGTTTTTTTGAAAATTGAACATCTCGAGAAAGATATGTTCATTTTCGTTGAAACTTTCATCAACAAAATTTAATGACTATCAAATATTCCATAGGTCTCTTGGTTTTAGATTTCTCAACAGTGTCTTGCTTTCATTAAAACTGCCATCAAAAAGGCCATGGACTCGAATCCTTTTAAAGTAGTCTAGATAAAATTATACTCATACATTCTAGATTCTGAAAACAATTTCTATCTACATGAATCACTATTTGAATTCTATCTAACTTTCTCTCTTTCGGGCTATTTTTGATGCTCCGCGAGAATACAACGGGTCGGGCTTAAATTTTTTACCACAGTAAGTAGATCATGGGATGCATATTCAAGAAAAAAAATCTTAAAAGCAGGCCTTCAAAAGTCACGGCAGCACAGCCTATCGGGTCCAGATCCAAAAATTCTTGGACCTGATGAGCTCTGTACAGCAGTCTTACAGTTTTTCTGGAGGCACTTGAGACAAAGTCTCAGTGGATGCTTTCAGAAATCTAAAAAATACTTCTGAGACTTTGTAAATGTAAGACCCAAGTCGTAAGTAGACTCTATCATTTTTGACAATCTAACTGAGGTAAAAATTTGAACTCGACCGTTATATTCTCGTGTCAACGGAAAAAACATCATTGAAAGCGAATCTTATTGAATCATTTCGATACCCACTGAATACACAATATGAAAGACCAATATGAAATATATTATTCTCTCAAGATTGACTTTTAATTGTAGAATATGGATGATTATCACAACGTCGTTGTTGTTGTTGACGTATTTTTCCTCCATTATTAATCATTGTTGAATTTGTACGATAGACATGTGTACTAGCATGAACTTTTAAATTTCCTTTTGTTGTAAATGCTCGACCACATATCTATTAGATAAATTTTTTTTTTTTTGTTTTTTACTTCGTAATAAAAATTTTTATCTTACTTCACATTTATATGGTTTTTCTCCTGTATGTATTCGATTATGAATTTGTAAAGCTGAAGCTGATGAAAAATATTTTGAACAAATATTACAAATATGTTGTGACATTGATGATGAACGTCGTGATTGATTACTATCATCATCTTTTTTTTCATCATATATTAATGGATTGAAATTTTTCTTTTGATTAAATGCTGCTGCTGCAGCTAAAAATGGAAAAAATTGTGGATTAAATAATGAAAATGATGGTATATTAATAATTTGTTGATCTTCATCTTCATTATTCTAGTAAAAAAAAAAAAGAAAAATCTTAATTTTTTTTCAAAATTAAAACTAAATTTTTTTTTAAAAACCTGTGATTCATCATCATCAGAATCAATCATTGTTGAGTTATCTTCTGCTAATAAATTATTATTATTATTATCATCATTTAAACGATGAATATTCATATGTGTTTTAAGATTTCCTTTTGTTGAAAATGCTCGTGAACATATTCGACATCGAAATGGACGTTCACCTGTATGTGTACGATAGTGCATTTTAAGTGCACTTTGACATGATAATATACGTTTACAAACTACACATTCATTTGAATCATTTTTATTTGTTGTACGTTCAAGTTTTTCGATCATATCTTTAAGCTAAATAATTATTTAATTTAATAATTTAATAAAAAAAAAAAGAAACAAACTTTAGACATATGTGGATTTTCTGGTTCACCTTCATGTGATTCCATTTGAAATTCTATTAATGATGTTGACTGTTCTTCATCAGATTTAATTGATGTTGATGATAAATCAAGTGGTGAATTATAATCTTCTTCATCCGATGGTATTACTTCAAAAAAAAAAAGAAAAAATTTAATTTCAATAATAAAAAAAAAAACAAAAATTCTTTTTCTTTTTAATACCATCTTGTTTTTGTTGATAAGATTCTAATTGTTGTTGAAGTTGTTTAATCATAAATTTTTGTAAACGTTGTTGTTCTTGAATAGCTGCTAACTGTAATTGTAATTGATTTAATTCAGAATTAAGATTATTTGACATTCTAAAAATGAAGGAAATTAAAATCATGATCGACGACGCGCGATGATTGATTATTAGATTAAAAAAACAATAAAAAAAAAAGAACAGCTGATCTCTTTTTTTCTTGTTTTCGTTATATATATATATATATATGCATCGAGTAGTAATTCATAATTGAAGAAAATTT